TAAAATAATTCTGTAATAAGCTTATTTACATAACCTTAAACTTTAAAATATACATGTTTATATATAAATATTATATCCATACTAACCTATTCGTTTTGTCAAAAAAAAAAAATTATCCGTTTTCTTAAAAAGAAAAAAAAAGAAAATTCTTTAAAAAACAAAAAGAATCGAGAGAAATACAAACACGTCCAACTCAAACATTCTCTCTGCCGATTCTCCAACCTAATAAACCTCAAGATTCCTCTCCAAATTAAGTTCAACTCTTTCCCTTTCTATTTTCCTTGTCTACCACTCGAGAAAGGAAAACAAACGGATAACACTTTAAAAAATATTCTTTTCGCTCATTGTTCCATCCGGTTCGACAGCTATTTCGTTTGTTTCGTGTATACGTGTGGCGAAGTGTACACACAAGAGTGTGGAAATTGGACCGAGGGAATTTGGACAGTGGGCGGGGAAACGAAAATTGTGGATCGTTTTTAAACCGAAATAAAGCGAGATTTTAATGTCTCTCTCTCTCTCTCTCTCTGTCTATGACTTTTCAGGTCACGATGAGAACGAATGCCCGATCGAACCTATGTTGTCCCTATATATTTCGACCATCATCTGTGCCCAGTCTATTTTCCAGGATCGGCTGTATCCGCTTTTGTTTGCTGACATCATGTCTTTTTTCGATTCCTTGATTCTTTTTCTTTCATATTCTGACCAAATGGACTATCGATACACTTACTGACAATATATAGAGTGTTCGATTAGGCACGCATCGTAAAACAAAAAAATTCGAATACTTTTTCCTATCTCTCTTTTTTATAAAAAATATTTTTCTTTTTTTTTTTAATTTCAATGGTCAAGCGAAGTGAATGAAACAAATCGTTAATAATTCTCAGAATATCTATGGATAAAAATGATTTAATCAGATTGAAAATTAGTGATATCGATCTAGTTATATTCAGGATTCTAGTGGTTGTTAGGGAATTTTTTATCGTCAAGTTAAGCTTCTTTTACATGACTTGAATATTGCAATCATGCATATTATGTAAAATGTTAATATATTCGTGATATATTAATTTTTGCGTTTATTTTTCTAACTTTTAAAATTAATCTTCCAAAGATATTCGCAAGAATGCTATATTAACACTCTGAATATAAATTCAATATAGCCTTTAAAGTTTCAAGATGCATATAAATTTCCTTGTTAAAAAAATCTTAAGTATATATTTGAAAGAAAAAACCAATTCTAAATTAATGTTATATAAACTTGAACAAAGATCGAACTTCTTACCTCTAAAATTAAAGGATTAGAGGAAAATTGTTCTCTCATCAACTTACATGTAAACTTAAACACGTGACCAATTTTGTGATCTTACTGCTTTTATCGATCTCATCGATTATAGCTAAATAAACGGCACGTCTTAATTCTAAGACAATCATTTTATTATTGTATATTTTTTTTATAAGAAATCATTTTTTTGGTTGTATCAAAATAACAACCCTATACAGAAGACACATTTAAGAGATGTATTTAAGAGAATAGGAGGATTGGATGTGCTTATGCGGAGGATCTACATATTGAAATTATTAAAAAGATGGTTGACCTGTTTTTACCAGGGAAATAAGGATTTGAATGATGCATCCTACGAGTTCTTTCTTTCATATGACTGATTAACTCTCTCTCCTCGACCTCTTTCTAGTCTTTTATGTAAATATCAAGACGTAGCCTTTGTGGAGTGACTTCTTCACTTCGGTGATAGTGAGGTTTTATAGGGATTGCAGATTTGGATATGTCTCATGAATATTCTTTTTTTTTTTTTTTATGATCAAATTAGCTTTTTGGTAGCAAGAATGAATTTTCCTTTGAATTTTGTTTAATTGATTGAAATTGAGTGAGAATATATAAACTATCCTAATTAGATTTAATTTTTTACGTATTATATAGTATATAGATATATAATATAATCTATAATAATTTTTATTTTATCTATAATATTTTTTATTTAATAATTTCTTTATAATTTTTTGTAAATACGAGTTATTTATTTCTATTTCAAAGAAAAAATGCTTAATTCTTAATCAAAATAGGAAAATTACTTTTGTCATACTTTCGAAATTTTTTAATTAAATTGTTCGTATGATAGAACATAGAAATGAACAATTATGAAAAAGACAAGAAGGAAGAGAGAGTTATCAGTTCGAATTGGGTTAATTGTCTGACAAGAGGGTTCAAATCAAACAGGGTTCCAATGATCTGCATTACGACGTTCATCCAACTCTCCGAATATTCCATCGTTGCATTTACGGTTTCTCGTCGAATGGACGCTGGAGAATCTCGAATTCGGCTTGGCCCATAATGCAAGAACAATCGTATAATCATCTCAAATATGTTCGTTATCAGTAGAATAACACGCATTTTTAAGATATTTTTATTTCATCATTTTTTTAACGATTTGCGATAGTATAGATATACTCATTTTAAAATTCATTTTATTTTTAATTAAGATTTCCAATTTCTTTATAAATTTTCTCTTGCTATTGTTCTATAAGAAATAAAATAAATTGATAAAAATGAATAACATATTTTATAATTTATTTTTCATTAATAGATGTATGTAGATTTTGGATAATTGAAAACTAATATTCATTAAATAATAAGAATTGGAAATTTCTATTTAAAAAAGATTATACTATACAAATTATAAAAATTAATCTATACTAAATAAATATCAAATTATTAAAAAATTGAAAATAAATTATATTTTTATCTAATTAAAATTTCGTTTCATTAGTAAATATAATGATGAAAAGAAGATTTGATATTTTGTTAAAATTTTTTATAAATAGTATAAAAAAATATTTATACAGAAACGATGCATAAGATGTGATCAAGTTGGCGAGAGCCAGAAGGACTCGCTGCTTCATCATGTCTTGGGACTGATCCTCCCTCACAATACGTCCTGATTCATTCATCAATTCGTTTGAAACGGCCAGCGTTTTAGATTTCTTCTATTTCTAAAACAAAAGATGCAAGCAAAGATTGTTAGTTTCTCTGATATACGAAAATATTTTCATGCATTATGCATTTAATTTTTTGTTAAAAGAAAAATTTGTATATTATTAACCATTAAAAAAAATAGATGTTAATTTAATTCATTTTCAAAAAAAGATTCATTTACAAAAAAAAGATAGAAAGATAAAAAATAGATCAACAAAATCAAAAAATATTTTAAAATTTTATAATTTATCTCTTTTTGATGCTTTGCCATCTCTCCTTTGAGAGATTCCTCTATCATCAAGCCATCATTCATCGAATAGTTAATGAATCACGAATTTTTCTTTTTTTCTTCTTTTTTTCATCATTTGCCGATCAATTAAACTGGAATAATTTCAAATTTTATTTTCAGTCGTTGACGAGGGAATATATTCATTGACGACACACTCGACGAAATTTCACCATTGATGTCCTATTTTGAATAACTATTCGAATGTATCGCTTTCGATCCAACTGTTTCCTAAATAAAAATATTTTTCTCTAACATGAGTGATTTTTCATAAGAGATTCTCTTAAGGAATTCCTATGTGTATAAATATTTCCATTTTATAAATTAGATTAAATAAATTTTTACAAATAATTTATATAATTCAAATATTTCAAATTTTTAATTGATAAAATAATTAAATTATTAATTCAATAATTTAACATTGATCGAAAATTTAAATAATAAAAAAATTTTTGAATTACATAAATCAATTTCAAAGAATGTAACTGATTGACTTTTGAATTCTCTTTGATTTCTTACCTTCTGAAATTGTGAATATATATTTATGAATCATCCATATTGTTTGAAATATGGTTATTCCTTGCTTCAATTTTCAAATAATTATACTTAATTTTCTAATTTTTTAAAAAAAAATCATCAAATTCTATAGTTTTTTCAGAATATCTTTCACAAACAATTCAATTAAAAAAAAAGTCTCGATCATTATAATATCTCGAATGAAAATCGTCATATCGAACAATGATCTTGTATCACGCTTAAACACTTTGTATTCATGATGAGAAGAATCCGCTTCCAATTACGCGGTCGATCGACGATAATTAATATTATATTGTGGTCCGAATGAATGTGTGAGTGTAGCTAATTGACGGTTGGAGAAAAGAATTAATTCGTTCGCTCTTCCTTTGTGGTCTGAATTGGATGTCGTACTTCGTCGACAGAGAAACACAAAACATGGCCTTTCCCATCGTGTTCCCTCGTTTGAAAACGAGAAGGCCGCAATTCCAGTAAACAAGCATCCGAATGGGTAAATATCTGGCACTGGTAGCACACTGGTACACATACGAGTGTGAAAGCAAGAGAGGAGAAAGGTAGTAAAAGGTGGCGTTTGACTTGCAATTTAGCTCGTCGCGGTATCCGTCGATAATCAGGTCGCTTTTCGTTCGACGGAGGCTTTTAACTAGAACTAGTAAACTAATTGAAGTGATCGTTTTTGGATCTTTTATTTTTTGAATATATTTAAATATAATACTTTTGACAAAATTAACAAAATAACATAAATTTTCTGTGTTCACAAGAGAATTGCGATTAACGATATCGTTATCGATAAATATCGATAATATTAATATTAATATCGATAAATATCGATAATTCGATATATCAATAATATCGTTATGACAGAAATAAATGAAATTCTTATTTTTTTCTTATTTAAAGTTATTGTTATTAAAGATATTGTTAATGATTATTCATGAATTAACAATATTTCATTGAATTTTCGATATATTGAAAATATCGATCGATATCGTTAAGATATCGATAATGCGAACAGAAGTGAGTGAAGTGACTTTATTATAGAAAATATTTATATATTCTAAGAAAAAATAGGAATTTTAATAAAAAATTAATATAATGATATATTAAAAAGTAATTAATATAATAACAAGTAATATGTTATTTCTATTTATCTCTATAATTATTTCATGATTTTGATGAATACATTTCGTATTCGATAAATTATATCAAAATTTATATGTATGTATATACATTGAAATTAGCAATTTAAAGTTGAAGAAAATCGAGATTAAAAAAGTGACAATAAAAGTGCCCAGCAACGTATTTCATTAACTGTCAATTTATCGCTATTGATTTCAATAGAATTCGATATGTTTTAATTAAAATTCGTGGTTGGAAAAAATTTCTATCTGCTGACTTTTCTGTCAAATCAAATGAGAATTATTCAGGAATGAGGACACATTGATTTTCATACCTATGTTATCTCGAAATCTTCGAAAGGTAAGACATCAAATTTTTTTTAAGGTGTATCTCTAACAAAGCACATACAAATTTTGACGTGTAAATAAAATTATTTGATGATCATTTTTATTTTTGACAACACTTTCCTTATTGTCAAATAATTTTTATATTTTTATAATTTACATAAATTAAGATAAATTTTGTGCTTTCTTAGTAAAAGTTTCTTTTTTAATAATTATAATATTATCTTTCACGAAATTCAAATATCATATATCATCTTCTCATATTTTGCTTTATTCTATTATTATTATTGTGAATATTCATGTGAATATTTCAATGCATGTTGTTTTTTCTCTTTCTACTTGTCTATAGTATATTTGCTCGAAGTTAAAAGCGAATCAACCATGGTATACCCGTCGAATCCACGGCTAATGAATCGGGTCCTGGATGCCGTGGTGCATCTATGCGATGGTAAAGGATCCACAGCTCGAGATGTCCTCGATTATCTTCGACAAACTTCCAAGAGTACGCCGAGGAACTTGACGATGCAGGTGACAGTGGTGGAAATGTAAATTAATTTCGTACGATTCGTAGTGATTCGACATTGTTGATTGAAATTTCACCGTTTCACGTGCGATGTAAACTATAAATCAACTGTGATATTTAATAATAATTATTAATTAGATATAATAAGTCAAATTTTTAAATTTGCGAAACTTTCAAAATGCTTATTATTATTATTATTTTCTGCGATTTGAAATTTAGGCTTACGCAATTACGATTGATATTTCGAACAAATTTATTAACAATGAAAAATAATTATTGAACAGAAAATGAATTAAAAATCGTAAGATTAAAAACTATTCTCTGTAGTTATATTCGAATTGCATTAATGTTTTATAAAAAAAAATTTTTCAACGTTTTTCTAAATATTTGAAGGTTAAAAAATTAAAATTAAAAAAAAAAGTTTTTTAAAAATTTAATAACAAAAAATTTTCAATTATTTTCTAAATTCATCTACGTAAAACTTCTTCTCTTTCTAAAATTTTTTACTCAAATTATTTCTAACCTAAAACATTATAATCGAAGAATATTAATTGAAAAAATATCTAAATAAATTTTACTGATGTTTTCTTTCATTAAAACAATTGAAATCTTCGAAAATCACAGGAAAACAATATCTAAGGAACTAGTTCTTCCAATTTGTAAGATTCTATAATCATGCTGCAGATGGTTGTCAAACAATTTGAAGCACTTTAGGAATCTTCGAACGTCTTTGACGATCCATCAGCCACTTCGAAGCTTGCATCCTTCGTAGAAGAAGGAACACATTTTCTTCAATATTTCAATTTTCAAAGTTTATAAACTCGATCGGGAAATCTTTATCTTATATCATCGATAATTTAAATCGAGAAACTTGAAAATTCAATTAACGATAACAAGGTAACAAGAATAATATACTAAAATAATGAGAATAAAATTATTTATATTATATCGCAGAAATCTTTATACATTTTCCACGAGAATGTTATGTGACTGTACGTACGATTTCATGTTGTTTGTATCATAAAATAATATAATTAGAAAAAGTTTTGTTGAGGTTAGAATTCGAAATTTGTTGCATTTGCTGTTTCTTACGAAATAAATTTTCAGGTTCATCGGGCGTTGAAGCACGCGGTGAATGCCGGTTTGTTGCGGCACAGAAGTGGTCGTTACAAGGCAGTGTTCACGTTAAATCCAGCTCCGATTAAACAGTCCGTGAACGAGAGTAACGAGCAAAAATCGATCATTGAAATGAACATGCAGCAGAGACCATCGAGCGTCAAAATGATTAAAGAGGACAACAACAGGTTAATGTCTTATTAATTATCACAGAATAATTCAATAATTTATTACAAATAATTCGTTGAAATTGCGATGAATAATCTTTGAAATTATGTATATTTTAAAAATTAAATAGGAATCAGAAAATAGGAAACGAAATTATGTATTAATAATTATAATAAGAAATAATAGTTAATCTTGAAAAATGTAGATTTTTATTTAATTTTGATTATTTTATTTTAGATTATTACCAATTTATTAAGATTTAATGATCGAAATCCACATATCAAATTGCAATAGTTAATTATGATATATCAAAAATAATGATTTGATAATAAACATCAGAAAAAATAAGAGGAAGAAAAAATTATGTATTTAACACTTTATAATTACTGGATGTAAAGAAAATTGAAGATATTCATTTTCATATCGAATAAATTGAGAATATTCAATCGAATTTATTTTTAGATCGTGTATATTTTTAACAAAAATACCTTGAATGATTAAAATTATACGTATAATAACGTTTCATAATCTTCTACTAGTCAGACAGTTTAATCTAATTAATATTCATTATGTAATACAGTTACACGAGTTCTCTTGTCTCCGTAAAATGATGTTAAATACAGTCAGAGAGAATGTCACGTAGCTATTAAATTGGTATGACTGCTTAACACTTATATCTTTGTTCTAAACAATTCTCTATTCTTCATTTAATTGAAAGTTGAATGTACTTCGTGTAATAATTTTTCTTTTTATATTTTGTTATTTAATGTATTCCTAGAAAGAATATTCTTGAAAAGATTCTATGAATAATTTCCAAGCAATTATGTTTCAATATTTATCAAAGATACATCGAGATATTTGTAATTATCTAATACAAATCTAACACATTTAACTAGAAACTAACACATTTAATCAATGTGAAATTTTCATAATATTAAAATTATCGAATTATATATTTTGAAAAATAACTGTTCAGAAATAAAAACTGTTCTCATTAATTATAAAATAAAAATTAAAATAAAAAATATAGAAAATTCAATAATAAAAAATTATTATATTTAATATTTTAATTATTAGTGTGTATTTATTTATTATTCATTTTATCAAATTTCAAAAATAATATATCAAACTTTTATTGTTTAATATTATTGTTTTACTGTTAATATTATTAGATTAAATTTTTTAACCATTACTATACATCGAATATTATTTTGGCGAAAGTGAAACATTCGTATGGAAAAATAAACAATAATCCGAATAGAAAAATTATGTTAGTATTAATGTTTTTTGATTTATGTAACATTATTTTTGCTAAAGATAATGAAAGAAAATGGAACTTTCATTTTAAATTGATATTCTTGGAAAATTAGATTCACAAAACTGCTATCAAAATTCTATTCAAAATGTAATTCTATTCAAAACATTGTATATATATTTGTTATTACTTTAAATGAATATTTTTTTACTTAAAAATATTTAAGTTGAGATATAGCGAAAAATCTTCATGATTCCAAAAATAATGATTTTTTCTCAGGAATTTTTAGAAGATTTTCATGGTCTTAGAAATATAGAGAAAATCTCTATGATCTCCATTACGATTATAATAGAATATTTTCATAGATAAAGAATAAAATATCCCATTTAAGGATATAATAAATTTCTATGATTTGAGTTAATATTATAGTAAATATGTGATTTAAGCAGGAAATTTTTATAATTCCACTTAGAGAATTTTTCTTAAAGACCTCTAGAATATTTCAATAGAGAATTCATTTATGATATGAGTTTAAAAATATAGTAATTTCCATGACTTCATTTAAAAATTTGTACATTTAAAATATAATAGGACATGATTTCAATTAGATATATAATAGAAAATCTTCAGATAAACAATAACAGGATTTCCTTTTTCTTCATTCTAAGATATCCATAACTCTATTTAATTCTATAACAAAATCCATGATCTCAATTAAGATAAATTTCTATGATCTCAATTTGAGATCTAAATCCTAAAATTTCTACAAGCCAATAATTAAAGCATAATTAAAGAATCTATAATATCTATATATAATTTCATTTTACAATCAAACATAACCTAACTTAATTTATTCTTTTTTAAGACGGAAGCGAAGAAAATCACGTCAGGAAAGGAAACGAAAAAACAATAATCAAAGAAAACGAAAACATCACAGTAGGTCGAAAAAAATTGACGAGCTGAAGAAAAATATCAGCGAGATACGAAAGCTCAAGTACAAAGAAAATGGTGAAAGTGGTCGGTCACCGCGAAACAAAATTTCGACTAGCAAAATGAGAGAAAATATTGGAAACCCGTCAGGTTCGTCTGCTCGTAAAAAGAACGAGCTGAGACCAAGAGATTCTAACAACTATAGCGATTTATCAGACTCGAGCGACTATGAGGATAGGAAGGTTAAAGGTAAACTACTTATACGATAAGATATGAACTATAGAAAAACTAATCTGCTTTATTGAAGGATACAAATGATAATTATAAAATTTAATGCTTGATATACATTTTTTATTATATTTATTTAATACTAGAACAAGCAAATTTGTCAAAATGATGGATTTTATATTTTTTATTTATGATTACGGAATTTTTTTTTTTGGAAAAATTAGCATTTTATCGAGTTAGAACTATAATTACATATACTTATTTATTTATCATTTTAAATATAATCTGACAAAATTTATATTTTGTAATATCATTAGTATTCTTTTGAAATTGACTATATATCATTAGTATCTAATCTAATAAAAAAAGTAAATTTATCTACAACAGAATTCAAGAGTTGCTCCACTTTAAATCTAAAATTTAAAATTTTTTATAAGATTTTTTTTATAAGATAAGAAATACGATATTACATTAGGATATCTAGGTAGCGAATATTTGGTATTAGAGAAGTGCATTTTATCGAATATCTCGATAGCTTAACTGATTAAAGGAATCGTCTGACAAACGAAAGATCCGGTTTAACTTTGATAATCCGTTGGATCGATTCTTTTTCTCTTAGTCATGCGAAATACCAAACGTGTTCATTCGTTTTTTTTTTATTGTTCTCAATCCTGCTGATTGAAGCCATGCATCAAAAATTCGAATTTATTTTATGATAAGATAAGATAACGATAAGATAAAAAGATAAGATAACGAATTTAAATAATGAAATATTTGAACAATGATTGTTTTTAAAATTATTTTTTTCAGTGACAAGAAAAAATATGCCAACAATGTGTGACGAATACAAATACGAAGGAAATATAAAACAGAATAGAAGATCGGTTTCGCGGAATCGAAGCCCCCAAAGACAAAAATCTCAGCAATTGCACAAATATTTTAACGATATTAACAAGACAAATAAACCAAATACTGTTGATGCTGAGAAAAACGAGGAGGCTCAAGAAGAAGGAAAAAACGAACCTAATAACAGTGGAAGTGGTAGCACGTTGTGAAATTGTTGAATCATGTTTGACTATGATAATCTATCGTAAATTACTTTTTTTTTAATATATTTTTTATGTCAATGTTATGCAAAATTCTTAATGATTTTTTTCTACGTTTTAAATCTTTGTAATAATATGTAGTTTTAAAATACATACATTATCTCAGTAAAGAATTGGATTGTTGGATTTATTAAAAATTTATAATGTTTTTTGATAATTTATATGTTATATCAATAAATTTAGAAAAATTTGGAATTTTGCAAAAATATAATTCAAACGATGATGTTGTTCACTAATGAATCTTTTGAATGCAAAAGAATAATTTATGATGGGAATAATTTTCAAAATAAATATAGAATTCATAAATATAGAAAAAAAAATACGTTTAAATTTATATAATGCAAATTCAGAAAAATTTAAAACTTTGGAAAACTATATTTCAAGTTAATGTCAATGAAAAAAATGATTTATTATTTATGACAAGAAAGAATTTAATTTATAGAAAATGAAAACATTCTTAAAAGATATGAAAAAAAAAAAAAAAGAAATTTAAATTTGTATAATTTTTGATATTTTAAAAAAAGAAAATGTT